AGCAGCTTTTTTCCTAAAATTCATGAAAAATCACATTTTGGATTGATCGTGTTCTTTATTCTACCAATTGGCAATAGACTGGGAATAGATAACACGACTCTTGGCATGCCTGGAAGAGCTGTCAGTGTTTGTGCCTCGCCATAACTGGGCATTGCCTGGTCATTTCTGCCAAAATCTTGATTAATGAAGACATTCGTGGCAAATGCTTTCGCAGTCGGGCGTCTCGCTACGGTCCAAGAATGTCACCTCTCACGCAGTGATACGAATGCCCTCCTCTGTCCCTCTCAACCATTATCGTAGTTCCGAAAAGCAATTTGTTTGGGTTGAAATTTGTGAGGGGCATGAAAACGAACACATCTCCAGTTTTGCATTGGGCCTTACTGATGCGTTTTATCTTTTGGGTGCACACACGCTATTCTGTATTTCAAAGATGACTTACCATCCTGAATGAGATTTTTCTTAGGAAACGCGATTATACCAGATGGCCGAGCGTTGCCTCAGTACGGTAATGAGTGAGGAAGATCCGGCATTGTGTGGCGGCGGAACGCTGAACAGGATTATGTGCGATAACGTATGAAGTCGCATTTTGTCTCTCATCATCCTCAAATCGCATTAAACAATTTTTCTACTGCAACATAGATTGTGCAGCAGTGCTCGATTTTTGAAAATATTTTTTTTAAGACTAGTGATCTGTGTTCGTCTCCTTCTCGCGGTTCGGGCGAGAGCTCAAGGTCGTCAAATCGTCACAAGAGCAGTCGGACCGACTTCCCAAATATTAAGGAAGGAGATTACGCAGTACCACCAGATGCCAGTCAAGACGTCAGGGCCACATTAATCAGCTCTGCTGAACCGGTAAGTCACATCGCAACCGAATTTGACAAGAAATTTCCATAATTTACATCTATGAATTTCTTGCAGTTTTTCAGCGCTTCAGAGAATTTTGAGGTTAAACTTAACTTTGATCAGGGTGTTGTTTCATCGCAGAACAACACAGCAGTTTCTAAAACAACTGATTGCCTTTGCATGGTTGACGCTGTCATATTACATTATACTACAGTCGTCCTCGTCTTGCCTTTTGTTTTCCAACTTTTTCCTATGTTTTTTAAAGGGGAATCCACCACTCTGCATTCATATAAGTCTCCTGCTGGTGAATTTGTTACAGTACCATCATTTGTAGAAGAATGTAAAGTGCTGGGACTATCTAATTGCTTAGCATTTTTCGAAGATATTCAATTTTGGATGCAGAATACCTGAATCCACGCTAAGTGACAGCTACGCAGCCTTAATATTCCCCTGATAAATGATGCATTCGCTGAGTTTGCAGCACTCCTGCCAGCACTGCTGGTACTTATGCATCACTGTTGCAGGTGGAGAAATGTGGCTACTTGATGCAGATGAGTGACAGCAGACTTAAGTCATTGAAAAGGCGCTATTTCGTTTTGAAAGATGGCTTTCTTTCTTTATACAGGACACAAGTATGTTGCGTTTTTTTAGAATTTTCCATAGACGCTTGGAATCATTTTTCTTTAAGTATTATGGTAACGGAAGCAAGAAAATGAGATTTTTCGCAGCATCAATCAGTGGTGCTTTTTCCAGAAAAACCACGCAAAGAGCGAGGAGCCACTGATCAGAATTGCTGTTTCGGATATTCGTTCGGTTACGAAACTGGTGAACAAAATGGGCTACGGATTGCAGGTCATTATTTTGCATAATTTTGAACGGATTAGAAGCAAACCACTAAAAATGCGTGCAAAATAGCGAGTGTTGAGACCAGCAACGGTTATTTTCGTATTCTAGAAACTAGGATAACCATGATTTCGGGTTTCTTTCTTTTCGGGCCCTGCTTTTTGTATTCGGCTGAAATGATTTAGTTCAGATGCGAGTGAATTACAGCAGTTTACAGATAACGACGGCCAACGGTCAGCACTGCTATGCTGCAGAAACGGTTCGTGCCACCGATGAATGGATTGCTGTTCTGACGCACAGTTTACGCGATGCAACAATTTCGGAAGTTAGCCAGCGT